CTCTGATTCTACTCGAGAAAGGACTTGCCAGACTGGACTTACCCGGCTCTTATATAATTTGCAAGTCTGAATGCCGACGGGACGAATGCCGACGGGACGAATTTTGGAGCAACATGGTCGTCAGTCTCCTAGTTTCGCCGAGTACTGAATCTCATAGTGGAAAATCGTCTGTCCCATTCCGCCCAACCGTAGAGTCTATACGATTGTGCGCACCCGGACCGCCCTGTCGTTGTCAGACCAAGGTAGCATTGCATGGAGAATAAGCGATTGGTCAAGCTGATGACGGTCCGTAAATGTATTGATCACTGAGCTAACGGGGATACCACCAGGCGATGAGTGTATAATGCGGAAATGTGGCTGCCAGGTTCGGTGACCTAACAGTTGATATTACGTTCTGACATCCATCACCAAAAAGTGCACAAAGACTAAAGGCAGGGCTGGCAAGGACTACATAATTCTCCGTCTTATACTGGGTATTAGCAGTTTCTCCGACCCGTCTTGCCCCATTCCGGCTTGGCCTCTATGCAGCCATGATCATCTCATTCCCGCCTGGAAATAGTCGGCTCATGACTCAGGGACAACCTGCTCGAGGAGGGTAGGGGTGTCAACAAGCCCCTCGCACCTTGAAAGAATGCATCCAGGGCGTCGAGGCGGAGAATCCGGAACCAGGTAACCCTGAGGGCATCTCTTTTTCGCCGCTTGTCTAGATCCCGCTCGGTGATGCTGCGGTTTCCGTTTCGCTGCAGGCTAAAAGGCAATACGGAACCATTACGCTGACGGGGGCGGACCTTGACCTTGACCCTTTTCGGCTCCGTTGCGAATTCGCCCAGTTGTCTAGACACATGGCCTGAGCAGACCATTGACTGCTGCTGTTGCGACCTTGACGGTCAAGTCGATGCTCTTTCAATAGGCACTTCGCAGAAGCTACGCTTCGGGTCTAGCCTGCATAAATAGCCCGTCGGACCGTTCTGGCTCATTTTATCTGCACGACATCAAAAGCATGGGCGCGCTCCTTGGCGGGATGACGAGCCAGAACGGGTTATCAAGCCATGACCCGCAAGGCTGAATCGAATACCGAAAGCAACAAGACTAGTTTCCGGGCGCTTTTCGGTGTTTTAAGTAGCGGGCAAAGTATTAGACGAGACTGTCGATATAGCAGAATGCCGATTCGCGGGGAAATATTGCTCTGCGTAGCGATTCCAACGCGGCTAGATTCCGCTTCACCAGCATCTCGTGTATTGAGGCCGGTACTCACCAGCGGCGAGTTCCGACTGCACTTTGTATAATATATCAAGCCATTCCCGTACATTGGACCGGTGGCGCCGCAGTGGCGCCGCCCAGCGAAGCCATTTCGCTTGGCTAGATCTGTCTGGGTTTGGGATGCTACACGCCTAGTATCGGTTTATTGTATTGATTGACTTTGATCATCATCAGTGAAGTATGGCGGATAAGTGACACCTGCTGCTGAGCGCCGCTTGATTGGATGCAGGATAAAGGATGAACCGGGGCCTGCATTGGACATGCAACTAATTACTCTCGCAAATGGTCCATGACTAGTACGTGACTAATGCTGTACACCATCTGACACAATATATTTACACTCGTCCCTTCTACAACTTCAATACAAGCCAGTCAGCAGCAAAGCCCGGATTCCTCCTTCGCAGCTCCGCAGCAACACCACCGACAGCACCCTGTGTTTCAACGCCACCCTGCCACACCTTGGGCCCTGCATAATGCGATATGAACCCTTCAGGGCCCGAGACCATGAGCAGGTTCTTGCCTCGATTGCCTGTTCCGCACGTGCACGGACGTGCGCCGTTCGGCTCAAACTCCGAGGCTGGCGCGTGGAACTTTTGATTGTGCGGCTGGCAGTCTGGCGCGCTGGGAAGCGTCGGTGCTGCAGCAGCTGAGCTTTGCATAGCAGCTGCCATGTGAGATTCGCGGAATTGACTGCTCTCGTCGTCGACGCCAACGTGGATGCGCAGCCGGTCCCCGTAGCGTGCCTTCATCTCGTCCAGCTGTCGGCCAAGCGGGCTTGCGTCCGTAATGGGATGGCCGACTTCAGTCGGCTGCGGCCGAGGCGTGCCCCGAAACCAGCTCCACCAGCATGTTGAGACGGGCCGTTGAGGGCCATCCGGCGCTTGCTCGAGTTCTTCTCGGCTCCGAATGGCCCAGAGCAGCGTAAAGTTTGCATCTTGATGGCTGTCCAGCACAGCCCTGGCCACTTGCATGGCCGGTGCCACCCCCGTGCCGCCGGCGAGGAACACGACCTTCTTCTGCGAGCCGAGCCGAGCGGCCACGTCAAAGCCCGGATGCGTGCCTCTCAGCCAGACTTGGCGCCCGACACCCAGACGGCCCAGGTACGTCGACATTTCGCCGCCGGGAATCAAACGCACGTAGAAGCGCAGCTTGCCATCTTCCAGGTGCTCGCCTTGCAGAGGCGGGAGGGGCGTGTAGTTTCGTGCGATTTGCACTTCTGGCTGCTTGAATTCCACGGACCAGAGCGGGTAGCGCCATGCCGCGGGCTTGGACGGGTCGGCGGTCAAGAAGCTCGGGCTCGGGTTTGGATGCTGCGGCGCAACGGTAAAGATGAAGGATGTCGCCGAGATGGCCTCTCGCGAGGTAATTGTATAAGGGACAAAGGTGTCTTGGTTGAGGACCTTCTCTCGCGACGAGGGCGTGGTGAGATAGTATATGGCGCTGCCACCGATGAGTAGTATCGCGGCCACGGCAGGATTGAGAGTGCGAGCTAGTAGAGGCCTCTTTCCAAGTCCCTGATGTCTACTCGGCCCCTTTACACGACGTCGAGTCGACAATTGTCGCGTGCATGATGCCATGGAAGATGGTGAATGGGGCAGAGACTGTAAAGTAGGAGGTCCCGTGAGGCTGCGGGCGCACGCCCCTATTGCTCTCCGAGGACCATTCATCACAATCCGGCCAAGCTATGTATTCCGAGCTGATATTGTTATTGCCGAATCATTCTCAATCCAAGTTTGTTGACTATAGTCTGGAGGGATTATTGGCGAGGTCAGTGTACGTTTCTGGCCGACATGTTTTTTCAAGGCTGAGATGATGATCATGAGGCCGTTTTCTTGGCACCGAGTCACGTGTAGCCGCGACTTACAACATACAACAACCGGCATGTGCGCCAAATAGTTTCCAACTATCATGAGATATACCCTCAGATTAATTCTACCTCCATGTCACTCTCCATCGTTTTCTGAAAGTTTGTACGCTGAGTCACCGACTTGATCAACGGGCGTCAATGTAGCGTAGCGAACACAACTCAGTACCACTGCCGCTAAATTAATAATAATAAAGTAAGAACTGAAACCAATTTAGACTCCATCACTTAATTCTATAAAAACGTCTTCATTTCGAGATGCAGAGTAAAAGGCAGCTATGGCCAAGCCACTGTGAGCCAGGGTTCGACCCCGTCCAACGCCAAGTATAAGCAGAGAATAAATAAGCAGAGAATAAAAGAAAACTTGCAAAAGAAATATGGGCGCCGCTCAAGCAGAGTAGCAGTGAGACCGATGCTATTCATACAAAATCTTTCTCTATAATACACTGTCTCTAAATATGCATCTATTTAATCGCTCCGTATTGCCTATAACCTCAGGATGCGTCGTTCTGGATCGATGCCACCTCGAAACATGTCTGCCACGATGTTCCCTTTGACAATGGTCTCCTCTATGATGCCTTCCACGTGCTTTGGCTCAACTCGGCCATACCACAAACCGTGGCCCGCGAATGGATGCACTGACCCATCCGCCATTCTCTTTCCTGGAGGGACATAAATGATGATGTTGCCCGCGAATTTGTGTCCGCCAATGTGGCTTATCAGCCCAACTCTTGCTGTATTTTCCGGCACACTGACTTTGCCCTCTAATTGCTGTGCTCCCGTGTCGACCTGGGCTTGTGCCGGTCCCTGCAGAACCTCGAGACCCTTGCGCTCAAGCTGCTTCTCAAACTCGTCGCGCAGGAGGGGGCCTAGAATACCGCAGCGCATGTCTCGTCCACCGTGGCCGCAGATGAGAACAAGAGTGTCGGTCACATCTTTGACGCCGTGGAGCAGACTCTGGTAGGCATCGTTGCGGGTGAGAATGTCGCGATGCACGGGCGAGAGGCCGTCGTGGGCGGAATGCAGTTTCTCCGGCAGTAGATAGCCCTTGGCCAGGGCTTGAACGTGGTCAAACGAGACGCGCGGTAGAAAAGGCACGTATTTGAAACTGGGCAAGAGGTAGACGGACGTACTCTGTACCTCTGCCCGTGGCGGGACTGAGCTGGGCAATGAACTGTTGATAAGCGCAATGTTGTGAAATGGCTATTCAAAGTTAGTAAGTGCAATCTCTGAGCAAAAAATACCAAGCATCAACCAACATCAGCATATGTGCCACCGCGGCCAAACAGCTCCTTCAAATCCGCTGCCAAATTGTCGCCACCATTCTCCTCTTCAATTTTAGACGGCCAGTCATCTTTGCCGGTACAAATGAGCACCTGCTCTGCGTAGCCCGCAATAACGCCATTCATTGGGCTCTTGTGATCAATGTCGAGCCCTTCCGGCATCGCGGGCATCTCCGCGCAGTCACATGTCGGCGACGGGCACGTAGGCACTGTCGGCAGGGGCGGCCGCTTAGCGGCAAAGCCGCGACACGCTGCCGCAGAGGCAAGCGAGGTCCTATTGACAGACTGCCATGTTTGGCGTGTCAATTGCCGCAACATGAGCCGTTGCGACATTGTTGGCGACCAGCTTGAAGTGTGTAAAAGGTGAAGTTCTGATTACGCATGGATTACGGCGCCTGTGATTTGCCCACGCTCGGAGACCGAATCGACGAGTACCGTCACCAGCATTACTAAGATTGCCACTTTAAAAATCTGCTCTGCAGCCCTAGTCGGCATAAAAAGAGGCTTCTTTTGTTTGAATTGATTTTTGAAGCATTCACGAATGTTGAATCCCAAGGCAAAAAGAGAAATCTGTACGCAGCGTAGAGGAAAGTTGCGCGAACCGGGATTCGAACCCGGGACGCGTGCTTGGGAAGCACGCATGCTAACCACTACACTATCCGCGCGGGATGATGTCAACGGGAAATTTTAATCAGACTTATAAAGCCAAGCTTTGGGCCCCACTTGGCGCTTTTTTGGTATCCGCTGCGGGCGATCCCTACACCAAGTGGCATTAATTATTAAGCCGAGACTTGTCAACTGAAGATCTACCTCTTCAACTTTTAATTTCGGCGATACCCCTTGAATATACAACTTATAGATGACATCGAAATTTCTTGGGGATCACGCTTCCTGCTCTCGGTTTGCATCCTCTGATGGCGCTGCCCGTCGTCTGCGGCGGAGTACAAGAGTTCGACTGTCGCCGCAGTTATCGAATGGAACATGTTGACGGAGTTGTCAAGGAGAGATATCAGAGATTCGAGCTTTCTGGATTGCGAGCCTTCTAGAACTTCATCTCCGCCGAGTTCAGGCAATGCGGTAGCTTCCTTATTGGCAAAGGTTTACAATCTGATCCCGCTACTGAATCTATCATTTTCTTCACGAGAGAAAAGTTCATGCGTAGATGTTCTGCTACCCGATGAGCCCTTTGCCTTCTGCGTTTCATGTAACTTGCCAGTGACCCTTGGGTAGGTCTATAGCAAGTTAGTAATTAGGGTCCCCAAGCTTTTTATATCGAAAGCGAGCTGCTCAATCTCGTGTTGTGCATCGTCCATCCTTCTCGAACTTCGCGTTATGTACACACGCGTGAGGCGGCGCGGTAAGCGGTTCGCATTCTCGAACCATTTCACGAACCATTTCGAGCCAGACTGTTACTGGCTTGGAGCTGCAATCATAGTAGAACGGGAAAGCCTCGCAAAATGCCTTACTGGAAAATGCATCCGAGGTTTTCACACCAGCTAGAGTGCGGCCCGGCTGAGGGACAACGCGGAACCTTCGGCGTGGAGCAACGGACCTTTCAAAGCTCAAAAGGGGACCACCGACCGTTTGACAAGAGTCAGTTCGATGGGAATCTTGATGATGCTTAATTTTCTTCATCTTGATTTCCAGGGCACTTGGTTGGGTGAGTCGAACTCTGTATCCTCCCCGACCAACCATCATGCTGTCACACGTACATATGTACCTAATAATAATGCGAGCCCACCGCTCTAGTGGATACACTCTGGCAGCCCTGACAGCTCCCTCAATCGCTCCGTTGACATCACTACATCCCACCTCGGCGATTCGTAAAGACCCCGCGACGAAAGCACGACACCATGGCGAGCAAGGTCGACCGCATCGTGGCTCGGCTGCAGCAAAAGATTGCCGACGGTGACTACTACGAGGCCCAGCAACAGACGCGCGTCGCCGCCTCGCGTCACATCAAGACGCAAAACTGGCCCGCCGCCATTGACATTCTCTCGAGCGTGGCCCAGTCGCTGCTCAAGGCCGGCCAGGGAGGCAGCGGCGGCGACCTGTGCGTCATGCTGGTCGACGTCTACAAGCAGGCCGCGCTCAAGCCCGACGCGACGAACAAGGGCCGTTTGCTGACGGCGCTGCGCCTCTTTGACGGCGAGGAGCCTACGCGCAAGAAATTCATTACAGAAATAGTGGCGTACGTTTTTTTTCAGAGACTATTCGTCTTTGATTCATGTACACGTTACATTCGAAATGCTAAACCCCCGCCGGATAGATGGTCCTCCAAGTTTGGCGAGTACCCCGCCGGCGACCCGGAGCTGCATCACGTCGCCGGATCCCTTTACGCCGCCGAGCACGAAACATACGAAGCCGAGAAGCACCTCATTCTCGGCACGCGCGACTCGGCCGAGGTGCTCTTCAAGATGGAGTACGCCTGGTACAAGGAATCTGACGCGCACACGGCGCCCATCTACGCCGCGCGCGCGGTCCTGCCGTACCTGCTAATCGGCAACGTGCGCGCGGCCAACACCTGCTACCAGCTATTCACCAGTGCGCTGCGCGCCGACAACCCGGCGCTGGGCGTAGAGGACGTGTCGGCTTCGGGCGCCGATGCACGCGTGTTTCCGAGCCTGCCCCTGCTCAACTTTCTAGGCCTGTTGCTGCTGGCGGTGCAGCGCGGCGCGCCCGAGGTGTATCGGGGTCTGGTGTCCAAGTACGCGGCGCAGATTGACGAGGTCGGCGGGTGGGGTGAGGCGCTGGAGATGATTGCGGAAATGTACTTTGGGATCCAGAAGCCGCGGCAGAGCAACCCGCTCATGGACATGATGAGCGGCCTGTTTGGAGGCGGTGGTGCGGGCGGCGCGGGTGGTCAGCAGCAGCAGAGGAGGAGACCGGGTCTGGGCGCGCCTACGGCCGAGGCGCTGGACTAGCTGCTGCCCTGGTTTTTTGTCCTTGGAGCATAGAGTAAATTCGAGCGTCAAAATAGAGCCCCGATAGGCATCGACATGCTAGTGGTGTGCATGTAAATAGCAGGCAAGATACAAGGAATTCTCAACCTCGCGGTGGATCTTCCGGGTCAAACATCCAGTGGTCGTCAGCTAAAGCATTGACCTTGGCGCGTAGACTTGCTCGAACAGCCTCTAGTAGTTCTACACAGTGTCAGCGTCGAGTTGGAAAGCGTATACCGGAACCGAGTTTGTACCTTCGGGCTGGTCAGGGACTGCAGTATGGTTGATGCGATGCTGCTTCACAGCCTCTGCCAATCTCTGTCGCTCTTCTATGCTCCAAAATCAGTCCTAATCTTTTTCTTTTTCTTTTCCAACCGACAGGTCAAAACAAGGCAAAACCTACGCTCCGTCTCATGCCTTGCCTCGAGCGCCATCTCGTCAATGTCGTCCAACGACACCACCGGCGAGCCCTCCAGATCAATATCCCCGTTGTGGTTGCGCACCACAATCTCGCACCGCTCCGCCTGGAGCTGCTGCTGCTGCTCCTCTGCCGCCAGAAGCGCCGCCGCTTCGGCGTGCGTCGCTGCCGCCGCGGACGAGGAGGACGTTGCGCTGGTGGCGGCGGCAGCGCCGCCAGTGGGCCGCCTGATCAGATGGCTGCGAAAGAGACGGTCTCGCGAGGCAGCGGGCGCCGCCGGTGCCTGGGACGACTGGTATGGTGCCGCCGAAGCTGTGCCTACTGTGCCGGCCCGCGCGCGCTGTAGCGGTGGTGGGTGGTGGTGGTGGTGGGAGCCGCTGATGGCGCGACTACGTTCGTTCATGTCTGTCGACTTTGATCTAATACGAGATGTAGCGTGAAGGCTGTGTTGCTTGTTTATGAGATGTGTGGTAAGAAACAAGAAAAGTACAGCGCAGATGTGCTCGAAAATTAGCAGGGGTCAGTCGTTGTTGTATGACGGGCCGCCCGGCGCTAACAACGATATTGGCGGTGGACGGTGGCCAACTTGGTGGGGCAAGGCCGAGTAGACGGGGTCAAGGACCCTTGGTTACCATCAGTCAGAGGAAGTGCGAATATCGCTACAGAGCTGTTATTTACTGATAAATGGCGGACATGAGCATGTTATGTTGCCGGGTATCCAAAATCAACGCTTTCATGTTGTCAAAAGAACTATGCTAGAACTATTCAAGCAGCTATCGCATAACTACAGCTAGCTGCAGCTCGTACACAATTACCAGAAGAGCAATATTCACTTGCCTTGAACAGTCGTATTGAGAATGCCCACATCTCAATATTCTGGCCGTCATTTGTCGGTGTTCAAAGCGAGAGGTTGTACGAGTATTCGTCCTCCATGTTTTGGGTAATCCAGAGCACGACGGAGCTGCCAAAACAGTTAGCTGCCGTTTCCAGTTATGTGACTGATTTCATATCAGATGAGGGAGCACCGGCATACCTAAAGCCTACCAGGGCATTGCTAGCCAGCGTCTCGATGCCCATGCCGAGCGCGGGGAAGCCAACGCTCGGCACAATGTACTTGAGCACAAACACGGCCACGCCGCCCGCCATGCCGCCCGCCAGGGACGCGAAACCCAGGAACAGCACCACGCGGGCCTTCCAAGCGACGCCGGAGCCGCTGTAGCTAAACGAGTCGGCGCTCAGGCGCTGCTTCTCGACCGAGTTGATGATGAGCATGCCGAGCGAGGAGAAGACGAGCGGCAGCCAGTCGACAAACTTGACGTGAATGTCGGAGCCGTTGCTGGCCGATTTGGACCACACGGCGGCGTCAAGCATGGTGTAAAAGGCAAGGGAGAACTGTTTCACACGGTTTGATCGGCGGTTAGCTGGACTGTGCTTTTTTTCTTCTTCTTTTTTTGGTCTCTTTCTGGTTGGCTCGGAGCTGCGAGCTATGCGCCGGGCCAGATCAGATGCGCCGGCGGCGCGGGCTGGGCGATGGCGGCGGCGGATGAGAAAAGAGAAGACATACCAGACCTCCGGCGACGTAGATGCCGGCATTACGAGCGCGGATGCTGTTGAGCCACTCGGGCTTGGCAAACTTCCAAAGACGGTCCTCCTCCATGATGCCGGGCGCGGTAGCGATAGATGATTGGGGTAATCGTCGAGTGGGAACAGGCGTGTAGGATTCGAAACCTCCTGCTGCTCCTGCTTTAACGCGGTCTGTGATTCTCGCGGTTTTGGGTCGTCAGTTGAAGCCTGTCGTGTTGATGCAAGTTTGAGCTGTAATTACAGTCTTGGGGGTTGAAAGCGTCGTCGATGGAGGCTGGGGGCGCTTCCGATGACGAAGCTGGCGGGCTAGCAACGGGGTTCGCTGTAACTAGTCACGTGTGCCTGAAACTTTTGGTTTTGAAAAAGAAGTTGGGCATGCTGGCCAAGAACGCGGCGGAAGGATAAAGGCGGTAGAAAAAAAATGAACGGAATTGATTTTTCCTTTTTCCTTTTTTCGCTTTTCTCCTTTTTTTTTCTTGTTATCTCATCTGTAATGGAGCAATCCATGCAGTGAGGTGCAGAACATGCTCGCCCGGATGGTCTGCACTTGTAAGTCCTGCGCTAATAACTGGGTGACGGCGGGCTGAGGCATAGTGTCAGGCTGTCAGGCAGGCACCACCCCTTAACTAAGGTACGTCTACCTCCTAGTGGGCACCCACTCTTCCAGAATACAACATCATCACTCTCTCCATCACACATAGCGTGGGCTATTCGAGCATTC